TGGATTTTGGTACATTACGACTGCCTATACAGGTCAATCACCAAAGTAGCTTCCGACGATTTAGTGAATTCTGGATGGGTCAAGATGAGTGAAAGAATAAGGTGACCTAGGTGAGATTGATTGTAAGATGAAGGAGTGGAATGCACTCTGTCGGTATGAGATATAAAGGTAACTTCTGAAAAATTCGGGTGAAGGGGACTGTTTATGATCTACATTCTTTAGGTGACGAACTTAGCTTTAAAATTGTGTTTTTGAAACTCGTATCTTTCCTGAAAATCGTGAAAAGACTTCCTGAAATTTTCAAGTATGATCAAGTGAAAACGATTGATACCATCCTCTTTTGTTAGAAAATAAAAGCTAAAGGAGCTTTGTCAATATTTACCATTGGATGTAAAATTCTGACTTCAAATGTGTTTTAATTAGACCGAGAATGAGATGCCCAATGGAAACATTGTATCTGGTCGACTGGTGCCTTTAATATTCTCCCTAAAATATTTACGAATGATAAAAAACTGCAAGACCTGTTGTAGTGCCTATTAAACTAACACTTCGCGGGATAACAAATGTTAATCTCGTAACTCTAGTAATCAGATTAAAGGCGATTCTAGAGGAAGAAGTATATTTAATGCTAGTCTCGTCATATCGAAATAATCACAAGACTACGGTACATGAGCGGTTAACAACGAGCGAGGAGAAGAGTGGAGTGGGAATAACACGCTTTGCGCGAGAGAGATAGTCTTTTGTACAGACAAACACAAGGTGTACAATATATCAGTTATTGTCAGAATTAAGTACAATAATAAATGTTTATATTTCATAAATTGTGTTTTCTTTGTTGTGTGTGAGTCCGATACCAGATTGACTATGCTCACCACTAAATGTTCCATAATATCCCGCCGTTATTCATAGCAAAACAAAATAAGTCCATATTCCAAGGTTTTATTGAATGAGAACGTTGGCATTACGTGGGGAGCAGCAAACAGAGAAAAATGGCAGCAAAGCGAAGAGAACGTTGCGCGCAAGCAGTGGAAGAAGTGTTTTTGGTACAGTTAAACAAAACGAGTACAATAATGTTTATTTTTCACAAATAGTATTTTCTTCGTAGAAGCGTTCCACTACATCTTCGTAAAAGTATACATTTACAGTTCGACGATCTACATCACAGCTTATATATGAATGTAGTACGAAACTTGTAGACGCATTTTCTCCGCAATTAGCTGAGGAGGTACTGTAATAATTTCAATAATAGATTGAAAAATCTTAGGAACAGATATTATTATCAGAAACATTCGCCCCATGGTAGCCATCAGGAATTGTTGGAGTACGGAGAGTACAATACTAAGAGGTATACACAGTATTAAAATATTAGGTTTTCTGACAGTAAACAAAAAAATTGGGTAGTGGTCCAACAAAATTTACCAACTTAGTCAGAGTTATACGAGAGTGAGTCCATTAGTATGAGTTTCTAATAAACAGAAGGCGAGTCTTAGGTGGGGCGTGATGAAATGCGCATAAAATTCTCAGATGAATGCCTTCAGCAAGTACTACCTCTTAAACATGACGGGACCAGGGTCGACACTAATTGATTTCAAATTATCGATTTTGTAGAGACTCCGCTATCTCGAATTCTTCAGCACAAGATCAGCAAGGAACTTGCTGCTGTTCATCAACTGATCATGAAGAAGTATATTTGTGCAGTGAAATGCCTAAAATTAATTCAAAGAAGCCACATGTAGAATTATGCCTGAACAGTGTCCAACATCACATAACAAATGTTCACTTGAACTTAGTTTGTATCTTTTACCGTGTAGAAAAATTTCAGTACATTTGGTTGCTGCATCAGAAACTAGTATTACATCGAAACCGACAGGTCACGGTTTGCATTCTACGCGAGTAAATCTATGCGCGACTTCCCTCATTTGTCTTCAGCAGTTGCTGCCTACACCGGACAGAGTTGAATTGTATTTATCACGTCTTCTCACTAGAACTCCGAGAATTTCCTCAAGAAGCTGGTTACTAGTGAGTACATTGTACGATTTGTCATTATAAAATGAATCTGTTTTATGTAGTGAATCAGTAATCAGTTATTTTACTAAAAATTTCATATATTTTAACAGAAACAATTTATAATTTTAATTAGTAAACAATAAATTATTTTTAAGATAAATATTAAGTATAATTAACTTCATCTTTTAAAATTCAAATCGTTTTCATGATATTTCCAAAACCCCTAATGAAAATCCAATGTAACACTTACTCTCCATAATTTATAATACTTACCAGCATTTAAAATACTGTTGGGAGTATAATTACTTAAACAACTCAAAGTCTTGTAGTATAATAATACTGAAACCATTAAAATGGTCAATAAATCGTACACGCCTTGGAAATCGTTGATAATCTTCATAGAAAACAATTATTATTTACCAATATTCTCACAAAATTCATCTACTTATTTACTTAATTAAATATAACACATTCTATAAATGGTTCAATCCAAATCAGACGATAAGAATGAATTTGAGAAAATTAAAAATTCAAAAAAATTTCAAATTACTAAATCGAAATTTCGGACACTTCTTTCAAAAATAAAATTGGAAATTATGTATTTCGGAATAATTATATATAAAAAGCTACTTTTTTATGAATGAACTAAAAATGATCTTAATGGTTTTATTAATCGATTGTCATTATTTGATTTTAATCTTCTCAAATGCAAGATAATAAGTGTTACGCATGCACGTAAACAAGTCATTTAATATGCTTGAACTATTACAAGTTCACCCTAGTCGGAAAACGAGACCGCGGGTCGAGGATCCGGCGACATGACAGGCTACTCTAATCCAATTGTCCCAACCCCCATTGAATAAAAGAAGAAAGCTTGATATGAAGTAGAACCTGTATTCTACAAGCATCTGAAAAGTACGAGGTCCGAGTTCAGAAGAGAATCAGGATCCCGGACTAGGGATCTGGGTCCGGGTTCGGGTCACAGAACGTTACAGATAATGCGTATTCACACATTTAGGTCGAATAAGAAACAACATCGAAGTCTGTGACACTGACAGTTAAGAGGAGCAATAGGAAACATTTGAAGTGATATTGATAGTCAAGACGACCATAAAATTGACCAGTAGGAATTAACCAATAACAATTGACCAGTTATTCTCTCAGGATATTGGATGAATATTCTAACAATAAGATGATTCACTGATCAGTCATTCAATGAAATGAAAAGTAATGTCTAATACTGAATAATAACACTTAAATTTATATTAACATGTAAAGAAAATTATTGAGTACGTTTAAACCATCAGGTTCAAGTTATTGCTTTGAATTAGATGGTAATAACATTTATTTGCCTGTGCTCCCTAGTGACTAACTTTGTGAGAATTCCTCTCCGAGTTCTAGTGCAAAGTAGTAACCAGTGAAGTTCAACCTGTTCGGATGTAGACAGTAACTACCGAACACAGTGTATGAGTTTGCGCAAGATCGTGAGTTGATCGAAGTTAGACGTTAACACCTCTAGATACCAACTCATTGGTCTGGAGGTTGAGCGTTCGCGCACAATACCGAAGGTCCTGGGTTTGAATCCTGGGGGCAACAGAAGTCGTGGATGCGCACTGCTGATGAGTCCCATACCAGGACAAAACGGCTGTCCAGTGCTTTCAGGTGGCCTAACACTGATCGATTCATGGTTTCAAAAATGTGTAATTTATTTTAATGTCTAGTAGCTATGTCTAAGAGTAGCCATAACTACCTGTATGATGTGTGATTTCGATCAATATTTATCCTGCTACTCACCGTTTGTCTAATGTCGATTGGGCAGAGAAATAATAACTTTAGAACTCAAACATTTATATGAATATCTGACTGTAATAACACTCTGGTGTCCAGAATATGGAATATAAGCAATTTAAGTACATCTAGAAATATCGGTAACATTATAAGTACAAAGATGCTCATAAAAGAAACTGCGATTAATTTTTAGTCCATTGTTATCTAGTCAAAAATAGCACTTTATATGAAAAAATTTGAGAAAATAGATAGGAATAATACGTTTGGCAAAAGAATTTACATAAACCATTACTCTTTTGAAGCCCTTTACAGCTTGTTGCTACTGTAAAACAAAGATATAATGATACAAATCCGTTCATTTCGAGAATCGATTGATTACCTGTCCTATTTGAACAGCTGTAAAAGCTCAAAAACTTTTGGAAAATCGCCATATTCTTCATTAGTATTGTAAGTCATTTTAGAGTAAGATTAGAAAGACAAAGTTGTTGATTTATAGTTCAAGAATAAAGTTTTATCATTCAGAGTTTACGATATAGAATGAATATATGTCAGAGTATCAGTAAACATGAGGATTTCAAAATTACAATCTGAGAACAATGTTTTTTTTTGCAAAGTGAAAATCGGGAATTTTTATAAGCTTGATCAACTCATTTTAAAATTGAAACTATCAATATATTTCCCTCTCTGTTATCGTAAATGTACCACATTTATCACGAAATCACATCCTCTGTAAGTTAACTGTGATATAACATGGAAAATCTTAATTTTATAAGCAATCAAAAGACTTGAGAGTCAAAATATTACTAGGTTTTCTAAATTTGAATGAATTTTAAGACATCACCATATTCCTAAGATTATTACTGAAATAAAATTGCATGGTCAATTAATAAAACTGTAAAAAAATTAATATCACTTCCAGAATTGTGACACACTCCCAATAGCACATGAAATTAATCTATGTGAACTTTAATGTCGTGTATTATTAGTTCGTTGTATTACTCAATAATCGTTAATAATGAACAAAACTAAATCAAATACATATCGATACTTTGAACAGTAATATCAATGAATTATAGACAAGTAATTTTTGGTCAATATCTGATCATTAGAAATGAAAACGATAATTAAGGTAATCAATTTCGATTTCAACAAACTAATTTATGACATTTCAACGTCATTGAACATTTCAACACAAACGAAAGTGTTAACACTGTGATCATTCAAACTATATAAGGAAAAAGAATTTCGTGTCCTAACAGAATACGATTCCAATCAACAACAATTACAATGCATGTAAGTTCACTGTAAACAATATGTACATGGCAATGAGGAATGAACTTGATAACTGATACGATTACAATGTACTTCTTACTACTCTTCCTCGCCCATTACCTGAGAATGTGGCCTGTAGATTTCCCATACTCATTACTTGATATTGGATTTCTTGTCTCAGTTTGAAGTTACTTCATCATAATGATGATGTCTTATCACTGCAACACATATTATGTCATTGATCACTATTACAATTCATCTTCTTCCTATCACACTTAACCCAGTTAACCTGTTCGTCTTGATATTTCATTTCAGATCCAATATTTGTTTGTGATTTTCCTGATAGGCATGAACGTGGTTTATTCACAAGGCCCATTAGGTGAGTAAAAATGAGTACTTTGTTTTCCTCAACCCTTTTGAAAATTGACTAGATAAGAATGCCATAGAGTTTTGCAAGTATTATACCTTGTAATTTATCTTATCATACTTGTGTGGATGCAGAATGCTGATTTGTGTGCATTTGCGATTATAATATTTGATAAATGTAATTTAACTTTAGTTTTGAGTATTGGGGTTAACGTAACATTATATCGGGAATGAGTTAGACTTCCAAGTTTTCAATAGTAATCTGACTAAGATCAGTACGTGATATGAAATCTATAGAAACTGAACTTTTGTTTCGTAATTGGCGGCAGCTTACGGATGAGATGTACTTCTTAGACGGTTCTACATCTTTCAATCATTCGTTTAACAAGTATCGAGTATTGTTCCATCTAAAAACAATGAAGGTTTCTCTATGATGTCCTGTCGCTTTTCAGTTGGTTAATCTGAGATATTACTGCAAAACTATTTGATTTCTTTCTCAAGTGAATGAGCACTAAAAATAGACTAGTCAGATAGAAGAAAATTTGGGTGCTAAGCGTTAAAAACTATTCATTGTGTTACTTCAAAACACAATAAACTATTCCACTTCTAGTTAGGAGAATACTTATTGATTATGAAATCATAAATAAGTAAGCTTTTATTAACATGGTACAATAAAATTATAATTAGATTTCGATTACTGCTACATTGCATAATAACTTGCCGCTTCAGTAATCCTACAAGGAGCATGATATGTGCATTACTTAGATACTCTTAGGTATTCTTTGAAGCAGTTGAGTGTACAGAAAATATTAGTCGTGAAACTGTCGGACTAAAATATCAGTGACATGGTGCCATCTACAACAAATAATAAATACTCACCCATGGAAGCATTCAGCTCACAAATGCAATTTCAATAACACTACATGACACTGCTAGACACACCATGATACTCGCTCAGTATAATCGACTAGACAAATAACATTGCCAGAATCTGACTACTGCTAATCATTATTGTGAATATTTGTCTTGCTTACTCATCTACTTGTTTCTGTTACTTGTTTGTCTAACTTGAAATATATTTTCTAGGTAATGCAGTTTTGTCGGAACAAGATAAAAAAGATTTAATACAACTTAAAAAGACTCCAGAATTTCAAAAAGTCAAGACAAGAGTTATGGGCATATTAGAAGAGAAAATTGATAAATTTGTCCTGGATCAAATACGTCAAAAGTAGTAAAATTTATTCTTAAATGAACTGCAACATTCATAAATCTGTAATACACCACTAAATAAATGCTGTTTTACCTTACTCTTATTCTTTGATCAAAAAGATTTGAAACTTTCAGGTATTGACTGATACTCATCGACTGTAAGATGAGGTTGTAATGGTTCATTTGTCTAGCGAATATCGCACCAAATTCTTCAATGTGACATGATGGTTTAGAGTGTACCTGGTGGAGAAACTGGCAATTATTCAAAGGTAGATATGTTCAGTAGATGAATCCTGATCAGATCAGGCTACAATGAAATTACTCAGTTAATTACTGTGAGATGACAAAATGAAGGCTACTGAGCAACCAATTCATAGATCAGTAGAGAGTGTTTTTGATTTTGACGAGTTTGGTCTCGTGTGCTGTTACGGGTATGAGGACGGTTGTCACTTCCCGGCTGCCTACACTGTGGAAGGTTGTTTCTCGAGGGACCTGAAAAGGAAGCTAGATTAGTGTTGGTCTTAGAGACCTGGGTGCGTGACCGCAGAGCCCAGAGGAAAACTGCTTGAGGCCGGTCACGCACGGCCTTTTGATGAAAGGTTTTTTGAGTATTAGCTCCGCTTTTTTAAAGCCTTTAGTGGGCACCCTTACCGCCGGAGACGGAAATCTGTGAGGTAGGGTGAGGTGTGGCATTTTTAGGGTCGACCTTTTCTAACCCTTCCTTCCTTGTGAGAATGCAGCATAGCTGCAGATGCTGCTTGTTGTCCGAGGGAAACACCTTACTGCTATCACACCTCTCTGCAGTCAGCAGTACGACTTCGTCCTCAGACCTTAAGCAGTTGCTTTTAGTCTGATCGTTCTCCAATCGACCTGCCTGACATGGTAGAACCTACAGGAACATAAGTTCCAGCCAGTATAGTTCGGTTGGGTCATGACGATAGGCAAGCCCGACCATCACGTCAAGCTAGCATCTACGGTCGGGAGTAGAGAGCGTTGAATGAATAAGGATTTTGTATAATCTAAGGAAATACTTATAATCCTAGTTTATCTAGAATTTCGACAAGACAAAGGGCAAGCACTCGAACTTGAATAATGAGTATGAAAATGTGTTATATTATTCTATCAAATTTAAACATAACATAAAATATCTAATTGTGGAATGAATATGTTTTTAATGACTGACGCTTCGGATATGTGTCTGTGTAGTCTTTTCTGTCCAGTACACCGATTTTCATTGATTTCATCTATCCAAAATTTAGAGTTATATAAAAAGTTAGTATTAACAAGAGAATCATTAGAATTTATACCGGAACTTTCTAGCTGAATGTCTGAATTATCAATAGAGAATTAAGATTAGTTACAGAATAATCAAAATTAAATTTAGAATGAATTACTTCATCAATCCTCATTTGATCTACATGTCTGCTGTGAGCTGAATGATCATTCAAATCAAGAACCTTTTCAATCTGATTATTCCTTTTTAAAAAAAATTATAATTCCCGCAGATGATTAATGATCATTTCCTCTGTAAAACCGTACCTTCGATGATGTTTTATTTATCAAATGACAGTGAAGTATGAGAGATCCGAAAAGTTTAGCTGGATTCTCATGAGTTTTTGAATGTCTTGCATCACGATATTGAACTGTGAAATGACCAATGCATTTTTCTAGTCCTTCTAGATTATTTAAATCTACTGATGCAATAGCACGTTTTAAGGTTCGGGTGAAATTTTCTGTTAAACTATTAGGCTGAGAATGTTGTGGAACTGTATAAAGAGGACAGCATTGAAATATCTTTAGGAAAACTGTTAAATTGCTTTTCTGTGAAATGAGTTCCATTCTCAGCTACTGAAGCACCAAATGTCTCTTCATAACTAAATATCATTCGCACAGCTCTTGGAGTAAAGTTTCAACTGAAATTGTTTATAAGTACTAATTCAGTAAAACTAAACTTGCACTGGACATTCCAACCCCATTTTACTGCACTTATAGCAGTTCCAAAGTACTTGTGAGTATCTTTTAAATGTCTTACCATACCAACGAGCAATGGTTGAACCAACGTACAACCACTTTCATTAGGTGAGCTTCTAAAGTATGAATACCATGAAAGGAATTCTGTGTTTGGTGTGCTTTTAGCCACTCGACGCTCAATAGAGAAATCATTGGTACCCAATTCTAAATTCCATTAGTAGACCATAACTGTGGATGATCAATGGAATGGGCTAGTTCGGTGGTAAATAACTTTAACCCAAGATGATCAGTTACATTATAGAATTTTACACCAAATAAGTATATATGCAGTTTTCCCACTACCCATATCACAGCTTAACCTTCTTTTAGGGTCTGAGAATATCCTTGTTCAGTCTTGCTTGATCGTCTTGAAATAAAAATAACAGTCTTCCTGTTCCGCTCAAAAACTGCATCTAACCGCAATGGAGATGCATGTATAGTGAGGATAGATTTTTCATTTTGTGAAAATGGTCTAAGAGTCCATCATTAAAGACTGCAAAATGTTTCTCTGTACACCTTCTTGTAGTTGCTACCATACAAATTCCTTAGCATACAGCCAGTCAAAACCAACGTGATAATATTTTTCTAAGGTTAGGAACACACCTGGAGTAAAATTGTTAAGCACCAGTCCATGATCTAAGTGCTGAGATACTCGTAGGTGAAAGTACTTGGATTAGTGGAACTAAACGACTGATATAGGGTTTAAAACTTTTAGTATCTACAACATAGTCTAGGGGGCTGGTAGAATTAAGATGAAAATGATACATGTATGGATTTACAGACAAATTTGTATTACACAAACGTCTAAATAACAATAGAAGACAATCCTCATGTAACTCAGTATTTTTGGTATGAACTATGATATCAAGTTGACGCGATCCGACACCTTCAAGATCAGTAATTACCTGATTTACAACCTTCTGGAATATCACAGGCGAAACAATTAATCCAACTAGTAGAAATCTATATCTGAACAGTTCAAACGGTGTAATAATAGTAGTTAGTTCAATATAAAGTTCATCCATTGGAATCCATAAACATGCATAGTTTAGGTCTACTTTAGAATTATACTTTGACCCTCGTAATTTATATTGTATATCTTCAATTTCTTCAGTGATACAAATCTGTTGCAAAAGCCGAGTATTTAACGTCAAGCAGTAATCACCTTTAGTGGTTTCATAATGATAGTAGCCCAACTAGACGATTATTACTTCTATTCCAACCAGTTTATCTAACTCGTTCTACATAGATTCTCCTAAACCGTACGAAACTGATCTACTTTTTAATATGGCAGGCTCTTCCATTGCCTCTAGATGTACTAACAGGATTTTCCTCATACTTCCTGTTGCCCTTGAACATTGACAGATCAGGTTTTTAATGACAGAAAAATAAGTGCATCAACAAATACAGACATCTAGCAATCGAAGGCCCTTTAACCCAAACACAGATGGGTCATATTCACTAACTAGGAAAGGAATTTCAACATAACCATCATCCTTATACCTCAGTAGAATGTTAACTGTTCACATACTGCGTAATTGAAGCCTAGTGATGCCAGTGATTGCACAACCTTTAAGACTTAAAGGTATATCATTATAACGAAATAGAAAATTTCTTTTATAAACAAATGACTATGCTATCGATATTAACAATAAATGACTGGGACCTGGATGAATTATTAATTAAATTTTGCATTATGTGTGAGATACCGCTGCTTGCGGTGGAAGACGATGATGACTCCACTCGTCTCTCCAAATCAACTTTTCTCAACCCATTATCATCTAATGCTTTAGAAGCAAATGACTTGGAACTTTTACAAACTTTTGTATATGTCCAACATCGTCGATGACGATAATCAAACTGACGTGAGATACAAAGATGTTTTAGAATACTTATACCAACAATCTGACGGTCACAAAGATGAAGATACAGTATGAAGTTGGTAATTTGAAAGACTAACTAACTTGAAATGCATCTAACCGGGTTACATATAGGTGTTTAACGAGTAACAACTTTGACTTTTGATAAGGCAGAAGAATGAACAAAACTCTTACTGTTTTTTCTCAAATTCTATAGTAAATGGCATATAGCAAATCCTTCCAAAGAATCTCCAATATATAATTTTACCAGACTGCTTGACACTGTAGTGGTACACTTTTACGAAGATAATACAATTTCTGAAATATGAATATTTATTATCATACTTAATTCTGACAATAATTTTTATATTATACACCTTTTGTTTATCTCGCGCGCCAAGCGTGTTATTCCCACTCCGCTCTTCTCCTCGCTCGTTGTTAGCTGCTCGTGTACCCTAGTCTCGTTATTATTTCTATATCACGATGATTAGCGATAAATATACTTCTTCATCCTGAATTGTCTTTTCTCTGACGTCTAGATTATCGGGATTTAGATTAGTAATCCCGCGAAGAAATATATTTATTTCGACTTACCATGATAATGTGATTTTAGAAGTGACCAATTTCTATATTAGGCAGTCATAACAAAAAATAATTAGATCCAAAGTGAGAATAACCACTAGAAATGAATAAGTAAAATAATCTGAAATCGTTTATATCTTCAATGAATAATATACAATTAGATTAATCATGAAAGATCCAAATTTTATAACAAAAAGTGAATTAGTTAATCATCACACGATGACTCACAAAACCCATCATTTTTAACTTTAATAATTCAACATTAGTAAAATTGCCTCAATAATTCAAACTACTGAACACCAAAACTGGTATTTTACTGTTCAATGAGGCCATAAAATTGAATATTGATCATGATGCTGTCATTAGTCAGAAGCTATAGGTTAACAGTGACAAAACAGTTGAATAGTTGATTTCATAAAAATATTAGTACTACATAAATGTAGGTTTCTTATTCATAAATTAACTGGAATATAGCAATTTTGATTGTAAACAAACTTTTGCGTGTGATATATATTAAAACTAACACATAGAAGAAATGTGTTATTAGTAAGTTGACAGAAGAACAATAGGTTTATTATTTTTAAATTAATTGAAACACAGCAATTTTGATTGTTAACAAACTTTTGTGTGATATTATATTAAAACTAACCCATATAGATTAAATATAATGTTAGAAGTTGACAGAAGAACTGTTCTTCAGTCAAAATGTTTTAATATTTATTGTTCATGATAATGAACAGACAAATTATTGACAGGTCATTAAGAAATAGGAAAGTACTTTCAAATTTGACAGCAGTGCAAATAAAATGACAATAAAATATAATGTTGATTCCTGTATATTATTTCATTAAACTAATTCATGACACTTCAACGTCATTGAACATTTCAACACAAACGAAAGTGTTAACACTGTGATCATTCAAGCTATATAAGGAAAAAGAATTTCGTGTCCAAACAGAATACGATTACAATCAACAACAATTACAATGCATGTAAGTTCACTCTTAACGATATGTACATGGTAATCAGGAATGAACTTGATAACTGATACGATTAGAATGTACTTCTTCCTATTCTTCCTCGCCTACTACCTATGAATGTTACCTATAGATTTGCTATACTGATCACTTGATATTGGATTTCTTGTCTCAGTTTGAAGTTGCTTCATCATCATGATGATGTTGCCTTATTACTGATATACAAATTACTATGTCATTCATCACTGTTGTAATTCATCTTCTTCCTATCACACTTAACCCAGTTAACCTATTCGTCTTGATATTTCATTTCAGATCCAATATTTGTTTGTGATTTTCCTGATAAGCATGAACGTGGTTTATTCACAAGACCCATTAGGTGAGTGTTGATCAATAATTTGTTATTCTTGACACTTTCGGTATGATGATTGAACAAACGAGACTTGCAAGTAGTACATTTCCTAATTACTTTCATCTTAACCAGCAATCCGGTGTTCA